AAAAATAGTACAGATTAAAGTAACTCTGGATTAACACATATTGTGTAAAGACACAAAGGATTTCAGGAGAGCAAAAGGAAGATGGAGAGGGGTGTATCTATGCCTGCACCCCAGACATCCCTTATCTAAATTGATGACATAATACGGGCCTTACGGACTATTTAAACATTCAAAAGGACAACAAAAAGATGGAAGAGACTTCTTTGAAAGTTTCTACAGCATAGAATTAATTCTCTTCTGAAATGACTTGACTTTATTTTTGTGCTTCTCCTCAAGGATATGATTAATACAAATTCCTCCCTTCTCCCTCTGACTCTCAAGGTGATGCTGACTTGGCTAAGTGAGCTTTTCCAAGCCTCCAAAGAAACATTGTTTTCTGGCATAGGATCAGTCCCTGACCATCTTTTCTCTTATAAGACTTGTGGGTCATTCATTTTGAGTATAACAGAAAAGCTATACCTAAGTTGGCATTTTCTCCTGAAATCACAGGTTTCATCCACCCACTTGTTAACTGCATCAGTTATGTCAGCACCCGCATCACTGGCTGTTGCTAAACTCTTTTGGCCTGAGACAGAAACACCTAAAATAACCCTCAAGAATGCCATGAAAATGGAAAATGGGTGAGTAGAACATGTTCACCACATTAATGACTGCACAAGCTGGGAGTGGTGGGGGACAGTGCACGGTGGTCCAAATTCAAAGTACAGCAAATATTTGATAATCGGAGAGCACAGTGAATTATGGCAGTAAACTGAATTTAATTTCCCAGTGACTATTTAGACGTCGCCCCAAAAATCTTGTTTCAACACTTAAGGAAAACCTTTCTAAATACCTGGATGTCAATACATTTCCTTGACTATTCAATGTAGAAATTTTACTTTAAACATAGTATAGTGTTCATTGAGTTTTGGTTTAAGATCATTGGAAAGCCATAGGCTAATCATTTCTAGAATTTTCTTATATAATAGGGAAGAGATAGTGTGATATAAATATCCTTAACCCCTCATCGGTTCATTTTCTTTGGCCCGGTGTAAAAGAAAAGAAAAACGTGGAAAAAATTAAGGACTTTAGGCTGTTCAAAAGTATTTCAGGAAATAAAAAAATTAATCGGCCAACATATTTTTGAGATTCATCCTTTGTTCATAAGTACATAAAGTCATAACCATGAGTGAAAAGCAAGTTGTCAAAGAATGTATTGAATGTGTGTGATTCCATTTATAAAGTTAGCAAATGTGTAAAGCTACACATTATTTAGGGATACAGACAAGTAGGAAAAGTGAAAAGAAAGGGAATAATAAGCAAATTTCAAGAGAGCCAGTTATTTCTGAGATTAGAGAAAAGAGGTCGAGATTAAGAAAGAGTGCATGGGGGGCAGGAGAATGGAACTCAAAGATGATGGTGACTTTCCATTTCTTAAATGAGGTGATGGATATTCAGACTCTGAATTATTAGTTCTTAAATCATGAATATTTTATAAATATTCTCTTGTAGCTACTTTTAGTTAAGTGTAATTTTTAAAACCTATTTTCATCTTTTCCCAATCTTTAAATTATAAATGACCATATTAAAAGAGTTGTATAACAGACACCATCATCTATACTCAACGATTACAAATGCCATCATGATTTCATGGAATCCAGGTGAGAATTTTGACTCAGGCATGAGCCTGAGAGTTGGTTTCTCCATCTGAATGAGTTCTGATTAAGATGGAAATGGCATCCGTCCACCGACAACTCTTTGGTAATTCTGGGATTACTGTTTTTTGATAAAGTGATTCGAGGAATCTCCTAGAAGCTGCAACACAGGGAGCGTCCTCATCCATCTCTCTGGTGGCAAATATCGCTGTAAACCTGATTGCCTTCATTGCCTTATTATCTTTTATGAATTCAGCCCTGTCCTGGTTCGGAAACATGCTTGACTACCCACAACTGAGTTTTGAGGTATAATGTTCCCATGTTTCTCCTCCATTTTGTTTCCACCTATCTTTGTTTAAAGATAAAAGGTTTGTGAACAGACTTCCCTAACTGCCTGTAATGTACTCTTACCCAGTGTACACACTTATCATGTATTCCCCACCTCCCCACCCCTCTCCCTTCTTCCCCCCATTCTCCTCCCCCCAACATTCAGTCATTCTCTCCTGCCCCAACCCAAGAATTCAGATTACTTCAAATGACCTAATTTCAGCCTTGACTCCTAATGGATAAAGGTGGGCAAGGGTACGTGAAGGGATTTCTATGCCTAAAGGAGACACAGAGGGGCAGGAACAATCTTGTCATGAAGGTGAGGCAGAAGCTAATCATTACTCTCATAAAGTATCTGTTTTTGATTTTTTTTTTTTTTTAGCTAATATGCTCCTACATCTTCATGCCCTTTTCCTTCATGATGGGCGTGGACTGGCAAGATAGTTTTATGGTTGCCAAACTCATAGGTTATAAGACATTCTTCAATGAATTTGTGGCTTATGAGCACCTCTCAAAATTGATCAATTTAAGGAAAGAAGCTGGACCCAAATTTGTAAATGGCGTGCAGCAATATATGTCGGTGAGTCAATATTTTGATTTCAGTACATTTTTCATCATATATATATATACATTTATCAGATAGTTACTAGTGCCTCTGTGTGTCAGGTACCATGCAAGGCACTTCGGATATACAAGAGAACAAAACAGACCAAAAAACCCTGATCTCTTGGAGCTCATAATGTACATAGCACCGCATAATTTTCAGTTATTTTGAATTAATTAGTGTACATGTGTGTGATTCCTGGACTGGAATCAATCAATCTATCAACAAATCTTTATTAAATACCTTCTGTGTACAGCATACTTAGATACTGAGGCCATGGTATTGAACAAGTGATAAGGCCTCTACCCTAATGAGGCTCATAGTCTAATGATCATGAAGCCTTCTTTTTTCCAGCTTAAAGAATTCTATGAACTCTGAGAAACCACCTACATGCAACATAGTGCCTGGATATCCTAAAGAAATAGTGAGACGGAGTTGCAACTCTTCAAGTGGATGAGAGAAAAGAAGCAGCTCAGGGTCTGTGGTCTGAACCTCTGAGACGAGCATCCTCTAACTATGTCAGGATTTCAGGTCAATAGGCTGCAAGGAGATGCTCATGTCTCTTTGGTCTAGATAGAATAAAGGAATTCAGATGAGGCCATTACTTAAGCCATGTTTGCAGCTGAGTCTCCAATTTTTACTTTCCTAAAGAACAGAATTGTCGCACATGGAAACTCTTAGGGAAATGGTGAACATTTCTGACCACCACCATTATTCACTGAAACAATCCATTTGGAATTAATGTCCTAGGTACATATTTGGCTTTAAAAGGAAAGGGGAGGAAAAGCATGCTACCCAAGGTTCTAATTGAGAATGACCACCTCTGAACACCACCACCATCTCTCCCAGCCTCCCGAAGGCCAAACATGCAAATTTACTCCTATATATTACACAGATATGACAGCATACTCTGGGAGAGTACTGATTTGTATTTTATGATCGGGGCATTTTGACCCACATATCTGATATGAACAGTGGTTCTGTAGGTCTCCTGTTTTTCAAATGTCCATTCTTCAACTGACTGCACAGTGGAGGTTGGCCCATGTCCTCATTGTTTGGATGCCACCACTAACCACCTTACTTCTCTGCCAAAAGTAAACAATAGGCTAGATTAAGTGAAATGTTTTCCATCCCCACTGCCAGCTGCCAGGAGAAAAGTGGTTTTGTTAGTGAGCAAAGCAAGCTCACAGTTCCGGCAGTGCTAAGCAGTTTTGTGAGCAGGTTATTAAGAGGATGAAGACAAGAATGGTTGAGATGATTTGGACTGGGGATGAGTCCAGCCACAGACAGCCACACAGAGGACATTTGGAAATATAAGCTCAATGGCTTCTACTAGTGTTGAGTCGCAATAGGAAAAGTATTTTTATTTTTCTAGATTTCTTATTTCCAGTCAACAAAATGGGGATGAGTCCCTGCAGTTTCTTATTTACCAACCAAGAAGTGGTGATGGTGTCCCAACCGTCTCTAGAAAAGGTATCACATAACTGGAGTGTGCAATCTGGGTACAGAGGCAAAACTCCAGTGCGATCCATTGAATTATGCCCACTGCTGACTTCCATCTAAGATAAATTGTACCTACATACCCAGGATGAGCTCTTTATTGCTCTATCATGTTCTCTTCCTTAATGATAATAACTGTTTGTTTACAAGTGATACATAGCAAGATACAGAATTCAAAAGGTATAAAAAGATGTAGAGGGAAAGTAAGTCATCCTCCTTATTTCTCTGCCACTCAGCCCCTCTCCATGTACCACGTTATGCTCACTGTTCTTAACCTTGCTCTTTGCACTTAATGACATATGCCTTGCCATGTCAGCGTCTGAGACATAGTACTCTATTTTATGAGCACATTGTAATTTATTTTAACCAGTTGTTGACGACACTACGACCAGTTTTTTGCTATTGGAGGTAGTGCTACAACCATTGTCCTTGTATGTAAGGCACTTTTGCTCGTGTGCAAGGAGAGCTGTAGAACGTATTATTAATTTCCTAGTGCAGTGCAGGTCTTTCCATCATGTAAATTTACACATTTACGGGAAAAGGCCAAGTGGAATCACCCCAGCCTTCTTTTCCTCTTATTATAAAACCCTACATGGCCACATCTGTGTCTCCCTT